GATATATAAAGTTAATATTTTTATTTGCATATTTTCTCAATGAATTTGAATCCACCATCCAATAAAAATGGAAAACCACTAAATGCCTAAATGGTCAATTTTTTTTTTTTAAAGGTTGAAAAATGGACATAAAATGGGCTATGGGCTCACCCTCTCACTTTCTGTTTAGAATAGTAACTAAGCCCGGAAACAAGATGTGATGGGCTAGCTTTTATTTCTCCATTTCTCTATACTTCCTTCAAGCTATGTTTCTCCCACTTCCATGGTTGGCACAGAAATGATCGGACGAGCAGAGTATCCCCGCCGACCCGATCGAACAGGTATTGTTAATTTCATTAGTTTACTAGCTCAAAAAGGATAATGCGCCTGAGAATTTGTGGTTTCGTGCTCAAATTCAGTATGTATGAGCTCTTTCTTTCTCTTTGTTTTGATGTCTCCTATTATTGTAACCTTAGTTGCCTATCAAATTGCTTGGAGTTGATCTTGTTAGGGTTCTTTTAATTATCTAAACTGGTTTCTTTTGTTTTATGAAGTAAATTTTACGTTGACATTCTATGTGAAGAAACTGATTTTCACTCCCTTCTTTCCTTTGGTTGTATAAATTGCATAACTGCATGTGTGTTATGAGATGGGAATTGATTGGAGTTTTCCATCATTCTCTAGGTTGTAGCAATGCCAATGGATTTGGGTCTGATTAATTACTAAAAGGATCTTAAATTTTAGTTGAAACACGAAAAATATCTTGCTAATGGAGTATATGCGTATAATCACAGATACCTTTTTTACTGAACTAGGTTAATTAGGGTATGTTGGGAAGGAGAAAGGGGACTAAGGGCATTGAGCACTGGTCTGGTGGATGGAGGTTGGATGTGGAAACCTCAAAATTTACCCTTGGACTCGGGTTCAGAGATACTAAGTCTGCCTTGGGATTGCTTCAAGTTGTGGATTTTTCTGGTTCATATTACCTGTTTACTAGATGGGTGTGTGTAATTGTATATCTGAAGTTATTAGAATAAAAATAGTAGCTTATTACACACTGGGAATTTTATGTCTGAATCTGAAAGTTACTGGAACACAAGTGAACTTGATAAATATATTGGACTACTAAAGATATTGTGTATTGCTCTGCCTCACTGCCATCACAGATGCTGAATCTGTCGTAGGAAAGTTTGAAATTTTCTTTTCCTTTTTTTTTTTTCTTTTTTTCTTTTTTCCTTATTTGGTCCAGAAGATTAGTTTGCTTAAGATGGGTCTAATTTTATTTTTGAAGCTATTGGAACACACATGAAAGCTCAGTCCACATTCATATTACTTAAGAAAAAACTAACAATAAGATGGATAGCATCTATATAAATCAGGAAGCAACAAAACATATAAACAACAAATGTATGTAAGAAAATTCATAACAATACATATTCACAAGCCAACTCATGTCCTCAACTCAAACATAAGAAATCAACATGCAGAGAATATCGAAATTTATAGGAGGAAGAAGGAACCAAAAGGTCACTAAGACTCTGGTCTACCCAGCAACTGGTTCTCCTGCATTCTGAGTTGCTCTGAAATCTGACAAGCTGTCTAAGAGATGATGTGAGGCTTTCTCAAAATTAACAAATCCCATGAACCAGAATTCGTGGCCATCAATGGTGACAATCTGAATGTACTTCTCTGGTGGATTTTCTTTCATGACCACAGGGTTAACTGTGCCAACATGCGCCAAAGGTATCATGACCTGTTTAGGACATCCATATCAGTAAGAATATAATCAAGGCAGTTTGAACTACTTATATATGGGTTAAGAAAACCCTATAATGTTTTCATATTTTTTAATCGTCATTGTTATTTCTTCAAGTATTAGGGGTTTGAGTCAAAAGAAGACAATGACATGTTATGACCAAAATTACCATTTGACCAATATCTAAGATTCAGTGGTTATTGTTTTTAAATATCTTATTGAAATGTTCACAATTTGAAGTATATATTTATTTTCCACTCTTGCTAGTTTTCTTAAGTATATCTTATTTACCTTGTAGTAACTCCAAGTCTCCTGTCCTGAAGGAGCAGTGAATGATAAGGGACGATCACTGCAGAAGGCAACCCTTGCCGTTGATAAATAAAGGGTTCCAGCTACGGGGCCTGTTGTTGTGGAGAGGTAACAAGCAAATGTCTTCTTCAACTTCTCGTTTGGATCGGTTGCAAAAATCTGCTTGAAGAGTGATTCAAATCCTCCCTCTGTTATTGCTTTTGCTGTCAAATTTACCTTCCCCCATGCAGCTCCCGACACAGATGGTCCGGTTTTAACTGTAGATTTGCGCAGATGGATGTTAATATCAATTAGAGCATCTATAGTTTTATGTCCATGATTAATTGCTGAAGTAATACATATCTTGGTAAATGTTTAAAATTTTGATCCTCTAGTTTGTTCTACCATACTCAGAGATGTACATATTTCCTTATTATTCTATGGCTGATTGTTCAATTATGTTTATAAAAGATAAATTCATATCGTTCAAGCGTGTTTAAACTTACGGTTGTGCCAGATATTGCGAGCTATGGTCTCAGCCTTGCTGCTCCAGGTATTGAACATTTGAATCACAGGTTCAAGAGGGTTGTAGCTTGGTTTCTCCACAGGGGAGTAGACGAGGTAAGGCTGCTGATAGATTTGCTGGTGGTCACCGGCGTTCCATAAAGCTGCCTTCTGGTTGTCTGGGTGCACAGTTGGGGCTGCAGGGGGTCCCATGACATGGGTACCCCATTTCTTCTTTTCATCTTCAGATGGTGGAGATGAAGATGATGGCACTTGTGCTGAAGTTTGATGAGGCTTTGATTCATCTGTTATTCCAGATGCAGAAGATGGTTGCCTGGATTCTGCTGCCTCAATATTGGGATAAGATGGCTGCAGGGATTGCTGATTCTTTTCTGATTCACCTGGCGTTCCTGACATGATTTTGAATAAAAGGTACTCAGTTTCCTCTCTGATGGATTGTCAGGGAGAAGCTGAAAAACTTACAATATATAGATCATGATTCAGTTGTCTGTTGTCTCTATACACGGTTTAATTTCCTTTGCAATGAAGCATTCTCTAGAAAGCAAAAACAGCGTTGGCAGAATGAGCAGTCTCTCCAGAAGGGGTTTCTTGGTAAATTTCTATCTTCAATCCTGATTATCCTTTGTCTTCTTGCCTTGGCAGTTATCATGTAGAGAAGAAACCGAGAAACTTCCAGTTTGGTCGGCTGCTGATTGTATATTATGGTATTGTCTAGAGTCTCTGGTTTCTTCCTTCTTTTTAATTTTTAAAAAATTTTTTATATAAAAAATTATTTTGTAATCCAAAACTTCAAATTATATTAAATTATAAAATATAAATATTAAAATGAGGGGAGGGTTTTTTGATATCAGAGGTTTTTCTTTATAAAATAATATATAATTTGTAATTTGATCCAATTTAAAGTGTAAAATAAGAGACACGTTTATATTTTAATGTTGGACAAATTTTTTTTACCTATTTTTAAAAATGGGCGGTGGATGAGGATTGGGTCGAACCTGAGGTCGAGCGTGTACCTACTGCACTCTGCTGGGCTTCTATTGGTTTGAGAGGTAGGTGGAATATCTATTTGACATTGTCCCCCACTACCATTTTCATTTTTTGTCTTAAAAATTATCAACAGTAACATCAATGATTTCATATTTGCGTCGTCTTGTCCTTGCATTTTAAGTATACTTTTTACTCATGAATCGTGAAATTAATTAAACAAGGGTTTTGACTGTTGATTTTCTCTAAGAAACTAGGTGAGAAAATCAGTATGGACCAAAAAATCCAGAAGGAAAAGAAATGGGTAAAGGATTCCATGATGTGATTAAAGACGTTGAAAGTTTGTTGGGACGCTGGACATTGACGACATTGTCTTTCTGTTGCGTCACATTCTACCAAGGAAAGTAAGTAGGAACCTTCGTGGCGTTTCCAAGTTCCATACACTCCACTGCACGGAATCATTAAATTTCCTTCGCTCTCTCTCGGCCATTAGAAGCTGAGCCTTGGAGCAAATGAGTTATCATCATGTCTCTCATGAGCCATCAGGCAAGTAGCTAAAAGATTGGTTTATTTAGTTTACTTTCTTCCATTGTTGATCTTGGTTTTTTTCCCCTTCATACTTACTGGGTTCATGCAATTCAGGGCCCCCATCTCCCTATCCCCCACCTGGTTACCCTCCGCCACCTCCACCACCAGGGTACCTGTACCCTCCTCCCCCTCCTCCACCACCCGGATATCAGGGCTACTACTATGAAGGATATCCTCCACCAGGACCATCACCACCACCTCCACCTCCTCCCCAGAACAACAACCAGGAAGACACTGGCTGTTGTTCCTTCCTAGGGGGATGGTAAGTCATCTCTATTTATACAACTTGGTTTTAAGTTTCTTCTTGAACTCGAAATATTAATGCAAAAGGAGATTACAAACAGGTTTCATATGAATTTCTTTTATTTTTGAGACAATAGTTGACTATGAAAACATATAGGATTTGATATGAAAACATGATCTTATTTTTCACATCTTGGACTGCATGCCTTTGATTTGCTTGCCTTAATTATGTCCTTGTTTTGCTGCTTTCTTGTTCATATATGCAGTTTAGCTGCACTGTGCTGCTGCGGCTTGTTGGAGTGCCTCTTCTAGACCATTATACCTATCCAATATATATTATACATCCCTATTGCTGGAGAAATTGTTCTCATAACAGTCAATCCAGTTGGTTCTATTTGATTCTGTACCAAAAATCTAGACTTAATGAGTTGATTACTACTGTATTAATGACTTCTTTTATCTCCAATCTGATATAATTTGTACTTTTAGCCTTTTAGCCACGTGCAGTGTTAATCCCTAATCTCTTTGTACCCAAAAAAAAAAAAAAAAAAACCAAAAAACAAAAAATGACTTCTTTATGGAATCAATTTAGTGGTGATGATCCGGTGAAGGATGCAATATGCCATTAATAGAAGATGGAGGACGGTATTGACTAGTTTTCAGAGTACAGTGATTCACTTCCCAGTTCCCACCCCCTCTCCCAACTTTTCCACATCGATTGATCAATCTTCCTCTTGCTGCAAATAATTTGTAGGTGAAAACCATTGACTTGGTAGGATGCCGTGTAGTTTTCGACTGTTCCTTTGTTTAAGTCCCTGATTTCCGGTAAAAATACCCATATGCTTGTGCTGGCATTCCTTGATAATTTGTAGTTGATTTAATTAATAAAGATCATGCGTACATATATGTATGTTACTTTACTTTGTATTGTAAAATTAAAAGAACATAAAAAGATTGAGCATGAATGCATATATATTACTTCGTGTTGAATCTCTATGAGGAAAAGAAATAAATCAAAAATAAAAATAAAAATAAAATAAAGGCATTATTGCAGGGTAAAAAGAAAGGAGAAGAGAAATAAATCTTACATTAGGAAAAATATTGATCGAATTAATGTTTATATTTATTGAAACTACAAAGCAAAATGCCTTTCTTCTATTGATGGATAGTGAACTAAAAATTACTTTGCAATCAACATGGTTTAATTACTAGTTGACATTGTCAACCCTTATCCTTGATGTGTGGAAAGCATGGTTCTTTCTTTTTCAATTACAATTCATCATTTCACCCAATCCCGTGCTCTAAGTTTAGGGATGGCAATGGCTCCCCACAAGGGCAGGGACTCCCTCCCCCTCCCCCTCCCCCTTCTCACCATTGGTGGATATGAGAATTTTCGTGGGGATTTTTGATAGAGGGCAAAAAATACCTTCCATCTCCATACCTACGGAGAATGAAAGATTTCCATGGGGATTCCCCAAATCCATGAAAGTATACAATTTTTCTTTTTGTTTGGTTATATACAAAAGCAAATTGATTCACTCAATTCTTAATTTAGAAAAAAAAAAAAGTCTAAAAAGTATTTCAAAAAAAAAAAAGTTCCTTCTAAGTATTTTTTTTTAAAAGAAAATGAATCAAATCAAATAAAATAAAGCAAACTTTGCCAAAATAAAAAATTAATAAAGTAAGCTAAATTCAAATTAAGAGAAACCCATTAAATAAAGAGGTGCAGTTGAGAGGATCTAAGACAATAGAGAGGAGAGATGAGAGAGTCAAAGTATTTGTGACTAAGATTAATGGGTTTGAGAATTGAGATATTTGGATTTATTATAATTTATGAAAACAAAATTTATAATTTTTTTATAAATTTATAGTTCTCCACAAGGATTAGGGACGAAGCTAGGGGGTGCAAGGGGGGCGAGCACCCCCCCCTAAACTTTTGAACTTAAAAAAAAATCAAATAAACCCTTTTCGAAAGAAATAAAATGGTGTGTTATAATTTTTATTCTTTTATAGATCTTATGATAAATTACTAATCACTTGATAAGTAAAATAAATTTAATAAAATATTTTTATTTACTTGACATGTTTGTTATTACAATATATGTATAATTAATGATTATCTGTATTTAGCAACAAAATAAAATTGATTTGAAATTGGTATTATCAATTCTTTAGAATATTTTGTTTTACTCTCTTGATCATATTGAATAATATTTTGGGATAGAAGTTGTATTTCATATTGAAATTTAAATACACAAAATTTAACAAGTTTTTCTACATTTAAGATTTTTAAAATTTTAGATTTTGTATATTTAAGTCTTAATCTTATTATAAATTACATGTAATAAAAATTCATTTTTAGCATATAAACTTCAAATAGCACTTTGCCACCCCAAGATTATTTTCTAACTCCATCCCTAGTAGGGATCCACGAGTAGAGGAAATTCCCCCAAAATTTTGAGGGGAAAAAATTATCTCCATCTCCACCCCACGAGTAAAAATATTTTGAGAATCTCCATCCCCATAATGGAAATCTCCATGGTGCTTCACAGGTCATGGAGGAAATTGCTATCACTATCTGAGTCACATTTTTAGCCTACCACCACTAGCATTTTTCATATACTTTCCATGCACCTTTTTAGAGAGTAGATAAATTGAGGGATGTGATTTATGATAAAAAAAATGAAGGATATATTGCTTGTCTTTCAGAGTGTAGTGATGCAATTCCTCGTTCATATTAAGGAAACTCATCAAGAATTGTGCTAAATTGATTCTCCATTTAATTTTGTATATTCACATCTATTATTTGATTTGTTTACTACAATGATTACCTAATTTAATTTCCATCTTTGTATAACTAATTAGGCTTGTATCTTTGTATATACTCCCTATGAAATCAATAAAATGATTATTGTTTTCACAATACTGCATTGGAATAGCCTTTTAGTGGTATCAGAGCCCTCTTCCTCAAACAAGTTCAAACCTAGAAACCATGACCCAAAAAACCTCTTTAACTAGCTCAAACCAAATTGCTATCTCTACTTCCACAACCATTGTCACTCCAACACCTGTGACTATTGCAACTAGAAATCCAAATACCAATGTCATTACCTTTAATGTTGTTGTTCAATTTCTGGTGAAAATCACCGTTGATAACTACACTAGTTAGAGTAGACAATTTATCTCATTGCTCAAAGTCTATAAATCGTGTATTTTTTGCTAGGAAAAAGGCCATGTCCTCTAGAAGACAACATTCCAAATTCACCTTATGATGTGTGGGTAAGGCAAGATTAGTCTATTCAACATGCAATTGTGACTTCAATTGCAAAATTATTCATCCATACATAGCTAACACAAAAACCTCTCATGAATCATGGACTTTGTTAGAAAGATTGTACGCAAATAACACTCAAACCAGAATTGTGGCATTACAAAGGCATAATAATCAACAACCACCTATGAACAATTAAAGAACTTATTGGTCACATTAGTCGTGCAGAGAAGACACCTTTATTGAATTCAACCATACATGTTCACTTTCTTAATGGCTTTGGATCTAAGTATCGAGAGTTCAAGGCATTGATCTACGCTCGAAAAGGATCACCATTGTCCTTTGGAGCTCTATAGGACAAATTAGTAAAATATAAAGAATCTTTGCAACGAGAAGAATCTCGCCCAAAGTTACCTGCCCTTGTCACAGTATAATTGTAGTCACTAATCCCAAATCTAGTGGAAGCACATCATGCTATGACATACAATATGTAGCCAAATTTTTTCAATTCCTATAGGCCTTAACAAATGTTGCCCACGAGACCAGCTACCTTCAATCCACAAAAATTTCTTGGCTTAAGCTTCGGTAACCCAAATTGGCAATACAATGGTTTGGTCAACTATGGTAATAGGGGAAGCTGTGGTAGAGGAAGCTGCAAAAACTCAATAACTAGGTACAATAATCATAATGGTGTTGTTTGTCAATTATATAATGGCTTTGGGCATTTTGCTAGGAGTTGTCCATATATTGAAATCATGCACACATGGCCAATTTTTCATTAACTTCTCGCAACACAGATGGTGAATGGTAGATTGATTCTGGTGCTTTAGATCATATTACCCCAAACTTGGTTAATCCTACACTACACTCAAAATACAATGGACCTAATCAATTGCTTATTTGCGATGGATCAAGTTTGACTATATGACATGTGGGACAATCAACATTCTTACCAAAACTAAGCCTTTGAAATATATTTTATGTGTTCAAAGTGCCTCTCGAAATTTAATTTTTATCTCTAAATTATGTCAAAATAGTAATGTTTTGGTAGAATTTCACCTTGATTTTTATTGTGAAGGATCACACCACGAGGTTGACACTTCTTCAAGGGTCCAATCATCATAGGGTGTACTGCCTACCTATCCACAGTCCACTTAGGATGGGTTCGCTGGCCCTAGTTAAAGAAAGAGCATCTATTATAAATTGGCATGCAAGATTGGGTCACCCTTCATCCAAAACTTCAAATAAAATTCTTCATCATGTTAAGTTGCCTATTATTTAGTCCTCATTTTCCTCATGTGAGCCTTGTTTATGTGCGAAGAGTCATGAGTTACCTTTTAGTGACTCTTCTATTTGTAGCAATATACCTTTATAAATAATATACTCTAATGTGTGGGGCCCACGTTGTTGCCTTCTATAGATGGTATTTTTTATTACGTAATCTTCATTGATTTATTTAGTTATTATATATATATCTTTTTAATTAAATGAAAGTGTGATGTTGTATCAATTTTTCAAAAATTCCATATTCTTGTTGAAAATCAAGTTGGAACAAAAATTAAGTCATGTTGCTCATATGGTGAGGGGGGTAAATACATTGCTATAAAAGACAACTTTCAACATAAAGGGGTCTTTCATTACATCAGTCCTCCTTACACACGAGAGTTGAATGGCATTAGTAAGTGTAGAAATCGTCATATTGTTGAGACTAGAATAGCTATACCATAGATTGCTTCCCTTTCTTTAAAGTTTTGGAGTCATGCTTTTCTTACTGTTGTTTATCTAATTAATCAACTCACTAATTCTATTGGCTCATGCTCATGTTTTGAAAATTATTCACGTTAAGTCTAATTATCTCCAACTTAGAGTGTTTAGGTGTTTCTGTTATCCTTGGTTATGATCTTATAACTCTCACAAATTACAACCTCAGTCTCATAAATGTATTTTTTTCGAATATTTAATTGATCACATGGGTTATAAATGTTTTAATCCTCAATTTAGTCTGCTGTTTTATTCATGGCATGTAATCGTTGATGAGAATGATCTTTTTTACAAACTGTCCCTTTATCTGCATTATATGGTGAAACCCAATCTATTACTCCTTACTCCATCTAGTTGTTGTTCTCTTATCTTTCTTTAGTGGCCCTCAAGCTAGCTCTCCAAGTGCGGCTCCTCAGCAACGAACTTCATTGAGTTCTCTAATCACTCCTATTCTCCTTACTTTGCCAAACTAGGGCCACACCCTTCAATCATTATTTTCCACTCATATGACCTATCTTAGCTCACTCACTAAAACCCACACATCACATCAACCTCACCAACCTTTAACTCTTAAATCTAACTCCATTTTCTCCACTAATCCATCAGCCAGCTCACATTTCGCTAGTCCATTATCTTCACCGGCCTCATCATGCGATTTCACCTTCTCGCAAATTACTTCTTCCATTCCACCTTTCTCATCACCCATGGCCATTCCTAATAACCAACCTTTCTCATCATTGTTAATAGATCTTCCTCTACCCACCATGTACCCACAATATGACCACTTGCTCTCAGAATAATATATTTAAACCTAAAACCTTATTTATTGCCACAAAACACCCATTTGACAGTTTGATTGAACCCACATGTG